GGGCGGGGGGCGTGGCCGGGGCGGAGCGAGCCAGACCACCCGAGCGGAGAGGAGCGGGGTGGCCCGGGGGGCGGGGAGATGGCGGCCCATGAGGAGGAGCTCGCGGGGAGGAGAGAGAGGCGGAGAGAGGGCGACGAGCCGGACGCGATAGCAGAACCGCCGGACAGCCAGAGTGGACAGGACGCCGGGAAGCCCGGCACGTTCCGGGAAAGGTACTGGGAGAGGTCCCAGGAGCGCTACCGGGAGAGGTCCGTGAAGCCGAGGGTCGAGGACCAGGTCGGGTGGAAGTACCGGCTGGAGAAGAAGCCCAGCTGGCCCAAGTCCTCGAAGCTGCCGGAACCTGAGCAGAGCGAGGTTTACCAAGAGGATATCTTGATCCCCGCGAAAGTGCGGCGGCCCACGATCAGGTTCAGTTACCAGCCCCCACATCCCCGCCGCCAGTCGCAAAGGTCCGCCAGCAGCCACGCCTCGAGCAGTGTCGTTAACGAGCTGGCGAAGATGGGCGACCCGAACGTCCTGGAGATGGTGCAGGAAGAAGGTAGAGGGCGGCGGAGGGGCGCGGGGAGGAGGGCCGGGCTCCCCGCGTAGACCGCGCCACCCGAGGCGCAGGGTCCCCGGGGGACGTTGGCGGCCCTGCGGCCCGGCTCCCGGGAACGTTCGCGGAATAGTGTGTGCCCCGCGCGAGGCTGGGACTGCCAAGCGAACAGCCCCTGCCCGGGTGGGTGCGTGGGTGTCGGCGCCGGGGCATTTCCTCGGCTTCTGCCGCCAGGCCAGCACCTGTGTGGTGCAACCCTCCCTGCTGCCCTGCACGCCGCCGCGGAGCGGTCTAATAACGCAGGGAGGCGAGGCGAGCACGCTGGGCGAGCGAACTGAGGTGCCCCGGCCCCAGAACCCAGGCAGAGGGAAGCCTACCACGAGAAAGCCTTAGCTTAGGGCGCACGACGGCAGTCCCCTGTGTAGGGAGCTGGCCCTAGAGTCCCGTTGCCTCCTTTTATTTGCCAATTACTGCTCAAGCTTTGAGATCCTTGTTAATTGAGGGAGGAGCAGACCAGACCCTAAGGTCCGTCAGCTTGAGATTCTTATGCACTTGGGAAGGCTGCTGTTTTACAAGCTTTCCTTGAATCTTTAGTTCCGTTGAGAAATGTTTGCTCATTGTTTGCTAAGGCCTTTGCATAGACGTATATTCCCAGGACCTGTTTTAGTACACGTTTTCCTAAAAATGCATATATTTTTCTGGGTCTATCTCCAGGGCTCTCAGTGACACTCTATTTTCATATCTTGTTTAGTGTTAGATGTAAACGTGGAAACTGTTTTTTAAAATGATAAATGATCTAAGAAGTCATACTTTTTTAGTCTTCAAAGGCACCAAGAATTACAATGCATTATTGCACCTCCTCCTCCTCCTCTTTCTTAACAGCTTTATTGAGATATAATTTACCATAACAGTCACCCATTTAAAATATACAGTTCACGTTTTGCAATCATCACCATAATCTAATTTTAGAACATTTTCATCCCCCATTCCTTAGCCCAGCTCTAGGCAGCCACTAATCTATTTATTGTCTCTGTAACTTTACCTATTCTGGGCACTTCATGGAAGCAGACTCATACAGTATTCAGTCTTTTGTAACTGGCTTCTTCCTCTTAGCATAATGTTTTTGAACTTCATCCATGTTGTAGGAGTGCATTATTCATTTTTATTGCCAAATAATATTCTATTGTACAGATATACCACACTTTATTCATCAACTGGTGGATATTTGGGTTTTTTCCACTTTCTTGGCTACTGTGAATAATGCTGCTGTGAACATTTATCGCAAGATTTTATATGAACGTGTTATTTTTCTTGGGTATACACCTAGGAGTGGGATTGCTGGTCATACGGTAACTGTATATTGAGTATTTTGAGAAACTGCCAAATTGTTTTCCAGATGTCTGTACCATTTTTTATATTTTCACCAGTAACATAAGGATTCCAGTTTCTCCACATCATCACTGACATTTGTTGTTGTCTTTTTTTTTTAATTTATAGCCATCCTAGTTGTTGTGAAGTGGTAACTCAGTGTGATTTTGATTTGCATTTTCCCAGTGACTAACGTGTTAAATATATTTTTTAATGCTTTTCAACCATTAATATATTTTCATTGGAGAAATGTCTATTCAAATCCTTTGCCCATTTAAAAAATTGAGTTATTTGCCTTTTAATTATTGCATTGTAAGAGTCCTTTATATATTTAACATATACGATTTGTAAATATTTTCTCCTATTCAGTGAGTTGTCTTTCCATGTTTTTGATGATGTCACTTATGTTACTTAAAGCAACTCCCTCTTTTTTATAAACAAAAAATAATTTAAAGATAGAAGGAAATACAACTATTGAAAACTTTTAACTTTGACTAATGGCTCTGCTGAATGATGCAATAAATTTGTTAGGGAAAATGATCGATAGTAATACAAAAGTCAAGTATCTTTTAAATGTATAAATTTAGAAGTCCCTTTCTGTACTCAGTGGTTTCCTCCTTTACTGAGAATTACTTTCTATTGTAATTTTACTAATCTGAAGCTCTTAATAGGGTTTTTTTGGTCATTTCCTCTTGTGATAAAAGCTTTGCCTCTTATTTGGGTGGAGATAGGAGAAAAGGATATTGATGTGGACTCCCATATATTTGATGGTTGGGTCTGATGAATGACATTGCAAGGAAGTTCTGATTTGAAATATTCATTCTTGGGCTGATTTATGATACATTCAGCATTGGAAAAGACAGTTTAAAGGTTTATATTGGAAAAGGCAGTTTTAAGAATTGAATGTGAAGTTGCTTGCATCGTTACAACTACGTCAAGCATTGTATTTAACCAAACCACTTATCCTTTAGTAATATTTATATTTGATTGCATGCATATTATTTTATGCTGCTGGAAGGAGTGTAAACTGAGAAGATCGTTTGGTAAATGCAAAGGCTATTTTTGGGTTCTGAGTTTGGTAGAGTGTGTATTCTTAGTAATGTGCTTTCAGTGAAAACTCAAAGCTGTCTTTGGGCTGGCTTAAATTTTAGTACATATTTTGTGATTCTCCATCATGATTGGTATTAAACCATTCATAATTTTGGTTTCTAGCCTACTGGAAGAATACAGTCATTTCCACTGATTTTAGAGGAAGTTGCAGGAATAACAAGAAGCTGATCTAAAGTTGTTGGTTTCAGATCCTGCCTCTTCAGATAGGCCTCTGTTTTGACAGGGGTTTGGAGATTATGCATCATTATACAACTTTATACTCTAAAGAAGTGTGAAAGTGTTTCTGAGTCTATGGCATGTGTAAACATCCAGTTGTGTGTGTGTGTGTGAGAGAGAGAGAGAGTGAGCACCGATGTGTGCGAGGGAGCATGGTGTCTGAGGAAATATATCTATCCTCTTTCATCTTTCAGCTTTTCAGAAATTGATAGAGTTTACTAAGTATGCTCAACGTGGCTCTCAGGGAGCTTGCAGTCTTGTGGAGGGAGGTATAATTGGACCACGTACCCACAAAGGGCTAGTAAATTCAGCATGGTGTGGGAGCAGGTAGGAGGCTAATCCAGGGCGCAGATGGGGAGGTTTCAGGCAAGGCCTGAAAGGAGGACATCAAAACTTGATAGCGAAAAAAAGGAACAGCTGTTAGTTCCAGGGCAAGGAAGCAACAAGTTCAAAGATGGAAGCCTAAGAGAGAATTAGTGTGGAGGAGATAATCTGGAGGAACTGTCGTCCCCTTTCCACATTCTCAAATAAATGCACTGCATCAAGTTCTGATAGCAGTTTGAAAGTATTTTTTAACTAGTTGCTTTATGTTAAATGCAGCAAAAATATTAGAAGATGAGAGGGTTGATACTTCCAGTTTTTCAGAACAGAATTATAAAATACCCTCTAACACTAGCTTAAGGTGTGCATTTGTTCGCTCTGTGCTTGGAACTATATTTAGTTCTTATACATAATAGTGACCGTTTTTGTCCTCAAGAAAATAAAAGCCTCCCTGTATCAGTGCTCAAGTACCATACATTGAGAGACAAAGCATGTATTTCTTAGAATCCTATTCTTTATCTATTTATCTTAAGAGTTTCCTAGATTGGCTTACTTTTCATTGAAAAATCAGTGAGCAATGGTCAAGTCATTGGGGAATTTTTCATAGACAGTATTCATGGGTAAAATCCTTTAATGATAGTACTGTATGATATTTTATATTTTTCCAATAATTTTTACCTACTTTTTTTTAAAAGGCGGAATGTTATTATTCAGAGCCCACTCTGAGATTTTTGATTTGGGGTGGGGGGATTAGGTTTATTTATTTTTAGATGAGGTAATGGGGATTGAACCCAGGACTTCGTGCATGTTAAGCATGTGCTCTACCACTTGAAATTCTTTTACCTTTAATCTGACATTCTAAAACTTACCCAAAAGAACTTAAGACAGCTTTGGAAGTTAATAAAATAGAATATACCCTAATAATAATACCAATAAGAATAACTAATATTCATTGACCTTCTCTGTGCCAGTGAGTGCATGAAGCAATTTACATGCATTATTTCACTTTATGCTTGCCTATATTTTAGGAGGTAGACATTAATGCCCTTTATATGTTATTTGATAGCTTTGAATTTATGTCATATTCTTAAATTGCAAGGAAGGCTAGGAAATGTGTTTTTTTGTTTTTATTTTTTGTTCTTGTTTTGCTAGAGGTCATTGCTGCACCACATGTTCAGTGTTTTGTTAATAAAGTACAAGGAGAAGAAAGGATATTTGTGGGGATAGCAGCATCTGCTGTATTAATTGCCCACCATTAATAATATTCCCCATTTCATTAAATGAAGTCTCAAATTGCTCAAGCCTAGGAGTCTTCACTCCTCATTGTCACTCAACTTGTATATTTGAAATTTATTTATTTTATGTTTTATTTTAATTAATTAATAGGGTAAACAAAGTTTATTCTAGGAAGAGAAACTCATTGTGAGATAAAACCATATTAAAATTTATATACACATACGGTTCATTTTTTCTAAGAACAGTTTAAAGCTTCAAATTTTTAAGCTTACATAGTTATCAAAGGAATAAAGCCAACTACAAAATAAGAATCAAGAGAATGCAGAAATCCAATCATAAAGGACAGTCAGATGTGCTTATGCATATTCAAGAAATCATCTAATTTATAAATAGTAAGTAGTTCATTTGTGTCCTTTTTTTTAGATTCCACATGTAACTGAAAGCGTATGACATTTTTCTTTCTCTTTCTGGCTTACTTCACTTTGAATAATGATCTCCAAGTCCACCCATGTTGCTGCAAATGGCACTCTTTTATTCTTTTTTATGGCTGAGTAGTATTTCATTGTCTATATACACCACATCTTCTTTATCCAGTCATCTGTTGATGGATATTTGGGTTATTTCCATGTCTTGGCTATTATAAATAGTGTCGCTATGAACATTGGGGTGCATGTGTCTTTTTGAATTATATTTTTTTCTGGGTATGTGCCCAGGAGTGGGATTGCTGGATCATATGATAAGTCTATTTTTAGTTTTTTAAGACATCTCCATACTATCCTTCATAGTGGCTGCACCAATTTACATTTCCACCAACAGTGTAGGAAGTTTCCCTTTTCTCCACACCCTCTCCAGCATTTATCATTGGTAGACTTTTTAATGATGGCCATCTGTCTGTCTTCTTTGGAGAGGAACACTCTTGGACATAAATCATAGCAATATATTTTTTGAACCACCTCCTGGAGTAATGGAAATAAAAGCAAAAATAAACAAATAGGATCTAATTAAACTTAAAAGCTTTTGCACAGCTAAGGATACTATCAACAAAGTGAAAAGATAAACTACAGAATGGGAGAAAATATTTGTAAATGATGTGATGAACAATGGGTTAATTTCCAAAATATACAATCAGCTCATAGACCTTAATAAGAACAAAAGAAAAAGAAAAATACCAGATGATATCACTTATATGTGGAATCTTAAAAAAAAAAAAAAGACAAACTTATTTACAAAATAGAAACAGACTCACAGTCATAGAAAACAAACTTATGGTTACCAGTGGGGTAGAAGGGGTGGGAAGGGATAGATTGGGAATTTGAGATTTGCAGATACTAACTAATACATATAAAATAGATAAACAACAAGTTTATACTGTATAGCATGGGAAGCCATATTCAATATCTTTTAGTAACTTATGATGAAAAAGAATATGAAAACGAATATATGTATGTTCCTTTATGGCTGAAGTATTGTGCTATACACCAGAAATTGACTTAACATTGTAAACTGATTATACTTTGATAAAAAAAATATAAAAATGGATAAAGGACTTGAATAGGCATTTCTGTAAAGAGGATATAAAAATGGCAAGAAGAATATGAAAAGATACTCGACATCATAATCATTAGGGAAATGCAAAACTACAAGAGGTACCACCCCAAACCCATTAGGATGGCTACTATCAAAAAATAAAATAAAATAACAAGAGTTGGCAAGGTTGTGGAGTAATTGGAACCCTTGTGCACCGTTGGTGGAAATGTAAAATGGTTCAGCTACTATGGAAAACAGTTTGGTGGTTTGTCAAAAAATTAAAGAATTACCATATGATCCAGTAATTCCACTTCTGGGTATATACCCGAAAGAACTGAAAGCAGGATCTTGGAGATTTTTATACACCCATGTTGGTAGCAGCATTATTCAAAGCTAAAATGTGGGGGCAACACAAGTGTCCATCTGTGGTTGAATGGATAAGCAAAAGTGGTATACACATACAGTGGAATATTATTCAGCCCTAAAAAGCAGGAAATTCTCACATATGCTTCAACACTGATGAAACTTGAGGACATTATGCTATGTCAAATAAACCACTCACCCAGTGATGATTACTGTATGTTTTCATTTATTTGAGGCACTTAGAGAAGTCAAAATTACAGAAACAAAGTAGAAAGGTGGTTGCCTGGGGCTGGGAAAGGGGAAGAGTTATTAATGGATGTAGTGTTCCAGTTTTACAAGATGAAAAGTGTTCTGGAGATGGATGATGGTAATGATTGCTCAATATTGTGAATGAATTTAATACCATTGAACTGTACACTTTTAATTATGATAAATTTTATGTTACATGTATTTTACCACAATAAGTGAAATTGGGAAAGAAAAAGAAGCTATACAAATGGTAGGTTTCTATTTTTTGTATTTTCAGAATATATATTAACACTTCCTAAAATTACAGTTGCTGTGGATGGCTCTTAAATGGTAGCAATATTCTATTTCATTCCCATTGTGATTTTCTCCCCCATTTTTTTTCTATTTGGAAAGTTTTTAACTTATGAAATATTTCTGTGTTTTTGCAAATTGGAGTCCCTAGAGAATGAGAATCAGAACTCTATATTTAACATTTTTTAGTGTCAGAAACTTATTTGAACATATATTTCAGTCCAAATGACTCATGAAGTAACTATCATGAAGATTATCTGTGAGTTAAGAAGCAGTTTGGCCTATTTGAACTGGTAGTGCTCTGACAGAACTTTACTTGCAACCAGTGCAGTTCAATTCCAGGAAAACATACTGACAGAATAATAAATCTCACACGGTAAGGACTAAGAGATAGTGATGGACATTCCTATTGGATGTTTTCCTCTAAGCAGCTTTGTGGCTGTGGATTGATAACTGCATTTATCAAAGTTAAGTTTATTTCTTAATGGATGAGATTATGTCCCACACATCAGTATTTGATGCTTTTCCTCTAGATTATAGACAATTTCGGTGCTCAATTCTTTTGAGTTTGTTTTGAACAACTTAGCTTCAGGAAGATCTTGGGTGTTTTCTTTTAGTATTATTTTCTTTGAACTTTTTTTTGTTTGAATTTTGAATTCCTATTTCCTCCTAATGCAGACTTTTAACATATTGTGATTAGTTGGCCATTTTTACATGATTGTTTTTTCTTTTTTGTTTAATTTAGAGAGAAGAATCAGTGGAGAAGTAGACTGTATTTATGAAACAAATGAGGTAAGTTATGTATGTATTAGCTTCCTATAAATCAAACAAAAAAATTGAGACAGGGTCAAAAATGTACTTCATATGAATACTTAGGTCTTTGGCCTTCAGTTATTCACTCATACTACTTTCTTTTTATTTTGTCCTCTAAACTATTCATTTTTTAGTAAGGAAAGCAAACTCCATGTTTCATGCAGATTTAATATTGAATCTTTCTGAATGTTATATGAGGGAGCAAACATAAGTTTGGGTTTGTTTTGAGGTTCTCTGTGAAACACACTCAGATATGCTTAGACTTGATATGCAAGATAATAGTATTTGGCTTAACACTTAGCTTGAGTATAATGCCCGTGTAATACTTGACAGCTTTTTTTGTTACACATGTTAGTAGATTAGTGCTTTTTTATTGCAGTTTAATTGACATGATATTATTATTAATTTCAGATGTATGATTCAATATTTGTATACACTGCAAAATGTCACCATAATGTCTAGTTACCATGCATTACCATACAAAATCACATTTTTTTCTTCTTGTGATGAAAGCTTTTAAGGTTTATTCTCTTGATAACTTTCAAATATGCAATCCAATATTATTGATTGTAGTCATGATGCTGTACATACATCCCCATGACTCACTTGTAAGTGAAAGTTTGTACCTCTTAACGCCCTTCACCCATTTTGCCTACCTCCCAACTGCCTCTCCTCTGGCAACCATCAGTCTGTTCTCTGTATCTATGAGCTTTATTTTGTTTTGTTTGTTCATTTGTTTTGTTTTATAGACTCCACATATAAGTGAAATCATGTAGTATTTGTCTTTCTCTGTCTGACTCTTTTCGCTTAGCATAATATCCTCAAGTTCCATTGACGTTGCAATTGGCAAGTTTTTATTTCTTTTTTATGGCTAAGAAGTATTCCATTGTGTATATGTACACACACATTTATTCATCCATCCATGGATACTTTGGTCATTTCCATATTTTGGCTATTGTAAATGATGCTGCAGTGAACATAGGAGTGCATGTATCTTTTCAAATTAGTGTTTTTGTATCTTTTGGATAAATAATCAGAAGTAGAATTTGGATCCTGTGGTACTTCTATTTTTGATTTTTTGAAGAATCTCCATACTGTTTCCCATGGTAACTGGCAAGTAAGTCTTTTTCACATATAGTTTAGGTGCTTTTCAAACTGTTACTTTTGTGCTGGGTCCCAGGGTGACCAAGTCCGCATATGAGCCCTTTTAGGAGTAGACTCTTCATTCCCTATAACCTTTGAGTCTCCTGGAATAAGCCCTGTTGGTTTTCAAACCATTCGTTTTGGGGGCATGTCTTTCCAGGGCAGATCCCAGGGCATGGGGTGCTTGATGTGGGGCACAAACCCCTCACTTGTCAGGGAGAAGCCCCGTACTGGTGAGATGTGGGGAAAAGGGAACCCTGTGCACTGCTGCGGGGAATGTTGATGGGTATAGTTACCGCACCCAAGGGTGGAGCTTTTGGTGGGACTGTATCTCTACTTCTCCTACCCACATCAGTGTGGCCCTTTTATCCTTTGTTATGGAGGTGCTAGTCAGCTGGTTTTCAGCCTTCTCACAGGGAATTGTTCCATTTGTAGCTATAGATGTGGTGTGTCTGTAGGCTCAGGCGAGTTCAGGGTCTCCCTGTACTGCCATCTTGAACCTGACAAGTGCTTATTGATGACTGTGCCAGAGTTTAAGTGACTCAGTCTGAATTAAGTGAATGTATTAAGTAAAATAATAAGTAATAAAATTAAATACAATTTGTAAAAATACAGGGTTCTCTTAAGCAAAGGCCTTAAATTATGTTTTATATAAACTTGCAAATGGATACCAACAACTTAGATTTTTTTTGTATACAAAGTGGAAGCATTCTGAAGATATTTCAGTAAAAATAATCATTCTGATAGACTCTAGTTGACCCAGAGCAGTACTTATGGAGGGGGATGTCCTTGAATTGGTTTAGGGATGTCAGCCAAATAGAAAAAGTCTCTCTAAAAACAGCTTCTTAGGAGCGATTGAAATTCCCACCTTGGGAAACACAATCTATCAGAATAGGTTGACTCTATGCTAATTAGCTGGAAAACTGGCTGAATGAGCTCCTTGACTTAAGATTTCTAGAAGCTCTGGAATTCTTTAGAAGCTCAGTGACCAAACTGCTGAGCGAAATAGAATATGAGAACTGAATAAACTATGAACATTATTTGGTCCAGTAATTTTTACAGTGTAATTTGTACACCACCTGAATAAGGATTATCTAAAGAATTTCTTAAAAATGCAGACTCCTGGGACCATCTCAGACTACTAATAAGTGTCGTCGGGGATGAGGTTAGGTAGTCATGATTTAAAAAGACGCACCACAGGTTACTCATATTGCCGTTAAAGTTTGAAAACCACTGTCCTGAAGCAGAGGCCCCACAACTAAAGTGATGTGCCGTGGCACAAAGAATGTATTTACTGAGTGAGTGAGTGAACCAATTATCTAGAAATTAAACAATTATCTAGAAAATAAAGAACATCAAAAATTAAAGGTTTCATGTCTTTGGAGCAGACTGAGAAAAGATTTATCTTATGAGATTGACTAATGCAATTCAAATGATAATAAGTATACTGTCCTTCTTTTTCTGTTCATATTGACATAACAATAATATATTCCTCACAGATCTTTGTATGTGTTGCTCAAGTTAACTTCAATTACGGTTCATATTCTTTGCTTCTTTGTGTATCTTTCATATTTACTTACATATTCCAGACTTAAACTTCTATAGAATAAAATACTTTCGTCAAATCATATTTATGCTGTTCCTTATCTCTTTGCACATTCAACAGCAATAGATGTTGCGTATTTGACTCAACTGAAACAGTTTTGCTCAGATTTTTAAGACTTTATATTTGCCTTGCAAACTAGGAAATTTATTTTATTAAATTTAAACCATAGTATTTTGGAAATACCATACGTCATAATATTTAGTAATTTTCTAGTAAGTTGGAAACAAAAGTATTAGGGAAAAACATTGAAACAAAAAGCTAGCTCTTTGAAAAGGTAATAAAATTGATAAGCCTCTAGCTAGACTGATACAAAGAAGAGACAGAGAAACGGAGGAAAGGAGGGAGGGAGGGAGAGAGAATAGATGCATATGACCAATATAGGAGTAAAAAAGGTTTATCACTTACAGGCTCTGTGGATAGCAACATGATAATAAAGGAATATTAAAAATAATTCTACACTTATAAATGTGACAACTTAGGTAGAATGAATAAATTTCTCAAAAAGCACAAACTACCTCAACCCACTCCGTATGAAATTAATAATTTGACTAGTCCTATGATTATTAAGGAAATCAAATGGGTAATTAAAACATTTCCCCCAAAGAAATCTCTAGGCCCAAATGGTTTCATTGGAAAATTCTACCAAATATTTAAAGAATAATTAAGACCAATCTTATACAGTCTCTTCCTGAAAATAGAAGGGGAATGAGCACTTCCCAGTTCATTTTAGAGGCTCACATTACCCTGATATTAAACCAAACAAAGACAGTACAGAAAAAAAAAAAAACTACAGACTAATATCGCTCATGATCATAGACACAAAAATCCTTAGTAAAATATAGCAAATAGAGTATAAGAAGAATTTAATATCATAACCAATGGTATTATTCCAATGATGGAAGGCTGATTCACTTTTCAAAAATCAATTTGCGTACTTCATATTAAAAGACTAAAGAATGAAAATCACATAATTTTATCTATTTTTTTTCAGAAAAAAAATTTACCTACATTCAATGTCTATGTGTACAGATTCTCAGAAAAATAAGAATAGAGTGGAACTTCCTTGCCTGATAAAGAACATCTATAAAACACTTACAGTAACATCACATTTAGTAGTAAAAGAATGAATGCTTTCCTCCTACGGTCAGGAACATGGTAAGGATGTTTTCACTTACCGTTACTATTAAACATAGTACTGAAAGTTCTTGTGATAAGGAAAGAAAACAAAAGGCATATGGATCAGACAGAAATAAATCAAGTTCTCCCTATTTGCAGATGACATGATGGTCTAAAATCCCAAGAAATTTACAAAACAAACAAAAAATCGTAGAAGAAATGAATTTCATATAGGAATCAATTGTATTTCTATACACAATCAGTGAACACATGGAAACCCAAATTGGTATATAAATTAATACAATTGCTATCAAAATCTCAACAAGATTATTTCTAGATATGGACAAGATAGTTCTAAAAAATTCATTTGGAAATGCAAAGGAAGTAGAAGAGATTGAACACTTTGGAAAAAGAAGAACAGGTAGAAGGAATCAGTCTACCCAATTTAAAGACTTCTTTTTTAGCTGAAGTCTAATCAAGACTTTGTGGTATTTGCAGAAAGAGGTTTGTAGATTAATGAAACACAATGGAAACTGTGGAAATAGCCCCACACAAGTACATCCAAATGATTTTGGACAAATGCGCACAAGTAGTTCACTAGAAGAAAGATAATCTTCTCAACAGATGTCCTGGAGCATTTGGATATCCGTAGGTTAAATTATGAGCTTCGACCTAAACCTCACAATGTATATAAATATAATTCAACATTATCATAGATTTAAGTGTAAACCCTAAAACTGTAAAGCTTTTGGAATGAAAAAATGGAGAAAATCTTTGGAAACTAGGTCTTTGTGAAGAGTTCTTAGACAAAAGCATGATCCATAAAAGAAAAAAATTGATAAATTGGACTTTATCAAATTTAGGAACTTTTGTTCTGTGAAAGATCCTGTTAAGAGGAACAGGCAAGCTATAGACTGGGACAGAATATTTGCACATCACATATCTGACCAAGGACTCATGCCTATGATATATAAAGATACAGCAAAGCAAAATGTTAAAAAGCAAACACCCCAAATGGGCAAACACATGATGAGATATTTCCCAAAAAGAGGATATATGGATAGCAGATAAACACATGAAAAGATACTGAATGTCATTAGCCATTAGGGAATTACAAAATAAAACCAAGGTGAGATATCACTGCACTCCTATTAGAACAGCTAAAATGGAAGATAGTGACAATACCAAATACTGGTGAGGCCAAAGAGAAACCGGATCTCATGCACTGCTGGTGGGGATGCAAAATGGTACAGTCAATCTGGAAAACTGTTGGGCAGTTTCATAAAAAAACTAAACATACACTTACCATGTGACTCTAATCACACTCTTGGGCATTTATTCTACAGAAATGAAAACTTAAGATTCACATAGAAACCTTTTAATTAGAAAGTCACAACAATCTCGTTTTTCCTAAAGTGAGGTATTGTGGAGGAAGCATTCTGCTTGTTTTTGAAACATGTAGTATATGGTTTTCTTGTACTCTCCTGTAAGTAAAACAACTGGCTATTCTCTAACATAATTGAAAAAAATTACATTATAAGTTACATATAAAGCAAAGCTATAATAAATTCGTATATTGTTTTAAAGGCAGAGATATAGATGCACAATTTATATCAGAGGCTGCTGTTTCAGAATTGAGTGATCAAGATACTCATTAGCTTTATTTGATATTTGATGTATCTAGATGAGTTAATGGGATTCATTTCAAGGTGCACACACACAATCATGTATCAGTGAAATGGGATTTCGACACTATTTACTCACAGACTCTCAGTCTTCTCGCAAATCTTCCACTGTTTCAGCATAACTTTAACACCATAGATGGCATTCATCTTTCTATGTAGTTTACATTCAATACTGTAGAATGAAAATTGACATGCATTCAAAATTATCTCTTCTTGTCCTCTTTAAGAACACAGATACATTACCGCTTTTTTTGGTGGTACATTCTGCAACTTAACTTTTGTAGCAGTGGTGAATTTTCAAATTGTTCTCTTTTTTTGCTTTTAAGTATGCCCCTAGCACTTTTAATTTTCTATTTTTGAAAACTGATCTGCCCAGTATTACCTAGGTGTAATGAGATGCTGTTTGTGATTTTCGAAGAACCAGGTAAGTGAATTCCCAGTCTGGACATATGTTTCAGGGCATTTCTGCTAGTGACTGCTTCTCCTGGGCACCCTTCTATAACTGTCACTAGACACTGCTGAGAGGTGATCTCAGGAGTGTGTGCTGTTGTGTGCGGTCCATCATGGAGCATGAAGATTTGAAATCCGCGGTACACCAAGGGTGGCATCATTATTGCTTTAACTACAATAGTGTTATTATGTCTATAGTGTATATCTATATCCACGTATGGCTTTTCTCTTGAGTTGTAAGTACAAATCCTTATGTATTCTGGTGGGGCATTTTCCATGGTATTCACTTTAATAATTTCAAACAAATGTTGAAAGGCTTAAAATAGCCAATTAAGTCTGCCCTTCCTTTCAGTCCTGTTCAGAATTCAGCATCATTAAAAGAATGGGGCTCCTTGTTATTTCTCTGCAGTGCAGGACTTAACAGTTTCTTGTGTCTCAGATTTTTTTTTATGATTTGTTAAAACTACCTCCAAAATTCTCATTCTTTTCCAAGCTATCTTTTCCACAGCCCCCCATACACATACTCATACACACACACGTTATACACGCACACATGCATAAGCACACATATACACGCAGTTTTGCATCCAATTTCAGGTGTTTCACAGCTCCCCTGAATTGTAGGATTAGTATTTCTGCATAGAGAACCTAGAGTTTTTGTTGTTGAAAGTCATATGCTCCCCACTTGCACTGTTATTAACAGTGTTGTATCTTCTCCGTGGTTCTATTACCAGGACCAGAGCAGCAGAGAGTCCAGCTATCTCATCAGTGAAGAACCAAGGGTAAGCAGCCGTCACTACTACACTTTCTTGCATGGACACAGCAGGCTGTCCTTCTGCAGCAGCGATGGCAGCACTCTCTCCCTCAGTTCACAGTAATTTTTCAGGTTCTCATACATGACATTTTAGAGTTTATTACTTTGGCCAAAAGGAGTTTCTTATGGGAAAGAAAGTGTCATAAGCCACATGAATGAGAATGACACAAAAAGCCTAGCACTTTGCTTGCATTCTACTTTCTCAGTTTTACAGATGAAAAAATGAAGAATCTGAGAGGCTTAATGGCATGACCAACATTATCCACATGTGTAAAGGGTAGGCCCTGAACTAGAGTAGAACTCAAGTTTTCTGAGGCCTAGTTTAGTATTTTCTCTGCATACATCTTTCTTCTTACCTGTAAGTACATACCTAAGAGTAATCCTGAAGAAGTGCAGTTTATTTGAAAATCAGATTTAAATATCAATTAAGAGGTTAATAAAGGGATTCAAAAATTTCCATTAGTTGCTTATTAAATAAAAGATGCTATTTGGGAAGATGGAGAAACAGAGTGTTATTTTCATCCTGACAATTTTGATACAGATATTTTGCTTTTCACTAGTGTACTGATCGTTATGTTCCAGAGTGAAGGTTGTGGGGTTATCTGAAATTTTATTGGTTTGTTTTCTTTTTAATTTATTTTCATTTTTTGATCATGTAAAACATTTACAAGATTCCAGAGGTGAAAACCACAGGTCAAATAAGGTTCAGTGGAGCCTAAAGCTTATGCTATTTTGGTGTCACTTTTTAAGAATAATGGGACACTAGTTTACTTTAAAAATTTTACCAAAATATCTGACTGTGAGAACACATTGCTAGAGTCCTTCCTAAATCCTTAAAGAAACTGGTGCAAGTAAGAGACACTGAAGCTTAGACTTTATTACCATGAAGGTAAATCTATCACATTTGAAATTATGAAACAAAGCATCTCGGAGAAAACTTTCTTCCTTCTTTTTCTTCTTAATCCTCCTGTAGTAACCATTTTTATTTCTTCTGTCTTTCCAATATGTCCTTTACTTTTCTCTGTGTGTATGTGTGTGTGTGTATGTGTGTACGCACATACTTATGTGTATGTATCTTCCTCCTACTTCTTACACTAAAGGCAGCGTACTCTATATACTGATCTGTTCATTGGTTTTCACTTAAAAACATATCCTAGAGTTCACTTTATATTGTGTATAGATTTCATCCTCTTTCATTTGCATGCTGCATGGTTTTCTGATTGGAAGTTTAGGATGGTGTATTCATCCAGTCCATTTACTGATGGACCTTTGAGTCGTCTTTAATCTTGGGAATCTTCTCTGTTTTTAGTCTTTAACCCTTGAGGATAAGTCTTATATTCTGGCTACATGTATCTTTCTAAAAGCATTTATGTATCAAAGAATAAAGGCATATGTAATCTTCCCATATATTGCTAAAGTTCTCTCCAGTTTGCATTTCTAACAAATATATGAGTGTTCTATTTCTCTACCATCTCATTAACTGTGTTTTCATGAGTTCAGGTTTTTGCCTGTCTGTCACAAAGAGAGTTAGTGGAGCTTCTTCAGTTAGCTCTGTATCCTACAATACCGTAAGTCTGCATTTTTCTTAATATGAATGAGACAATCGTCTTTTTTCTACACTGATGGTCATTTTAATTTTTTTTACTGAATCATTCTGTTTATATATTCTGTCTACTTTATTGTTAAACTGTTCAGTTTTTCTTTTTTTCTTTTGATTTTTTGGGAACTTTTTACATTTTTATTATTATCCCCTTGCCCATGATAGAAGTTGCAATAATTTCCCCAATTATGTCATATACTAATAATAGAAGTTTTAAATTCCAATTGATTTTAAAGTGGTCTATGATATTTCATCCTTTCTTTTGTTAAATAGCAAGTTAAAATGAAACAGTAAGTTTTTTAATCAACTTTTTATTTTAGTATAGTTTTAGGTCTGTAGATTTATTACGAATATAGTACATTAAGTTCCCGATACCTCACATCCATTTTCCCCTGTCATTAGTATCCTATATTGGAATGGCACATTTGTTACAAATTATGAACCAATATTGGTACCTTATTATTAACTAAAGTCCATATTTTATTCACATTTCCTAAGTTTTTCCCTAAAGTTCTTTTTCTGTTCCAGGATCCCATCCAGGACACCACATTGCATTTAATTGCCATATCTCCTCAGGCTACTCTTGACTGTGATGGTTTCTCAGACTTTTCTTGTTTTTGATGACCTTTGCAGTTTTGAGGCAGACTGGTCAAGTACTTTGTAGACTGTCCTTTAGTGATAACTTTCCTGATGATTTCCTCATAATTAGACTGGGGTCACAAATTTTGGGGGAGGAAGACAATAGAAAATGCTATTTTCATTCAACTGTATGAAGGTTGCTTTCTATCAACATGATTTATCATTCTTGATGTTAGTCTCTATTGCCTGACTTGAAGTCCTATTTGTCAGGCTGCTCTACTGTGAAATTTTTCTTTTTAATCTCCCTATTTATACTGCACTAATCTTTGGAAGAAAGTCACTATGTGCAGCCCGTACTTAAGGATTGGGGGTTTATGCTCTACCTCCTTAAGGATAAATGAGTTATTTGGGATTCTGTATGGGAAATTTATCTCTTATTTATTCATAAATTTATTTATGTATTATTTGTGTATTTATTTATTTATATCAGAATGGATGCATGGATATTTATTTTGTATTTTGTGTTATAAACCCAATACTCTTTCATTTACTTTGTTGCTCAAATTGTTCTTGCTTTGATTAAGAGCTTTTTTGATTGACCCCTGTATCTCTTTGATATAAGCCTTTAATTTTGTTTTGTTTTATTTTTAGCATTTTCTTACTTTCTGGCACTACAAGATGCTCTAAGCTCATCTCATCTTGTACTTTTCCTGTGTCAGTCCTAGAATCAACCATTTCTCCAGGGAAGGTTTTTTTTTAATGTCACAGAAGTACCACAAAAGAAAAATCTATATTGATCAGGTTCCTATTAGGCATACTCAAAATAGAATAAATTGAGGAGAGCTTAATTAAAGGAAAAAACTTTTACAAAAATGAGGTTCAGGAGAAGCCTAGTGTGTATCGATCTAGCAGCCATGAATCTATTACCATCCATAGAACTGCAGGGAATAGGGAGGGAACAGTTATCAGAACCTAGAAGGAGAGTCATGTACTTAAACATTCTTTAGAGGGTCAGTGACCTTCAGTGGAGGGATTCAGTCTTCCTGAATCCAGCCTCAGAAAGGAGACATCATTTGTGGGAAGACAGAGATCAAAGGAGCTCTTTGATATCTAACCGGCCTCCCTCCCAGGAGAAGAAGCAGGATAGAAAGGGGTAGAGAGGGAACCTGCTGAGACAATCCAAAGATACCCAGCAGGATATCATTGGACATATTTTCTTTCTGGATAAAAACTATAATACTACCGTGATTATGATAGAGCTTCACTACATGCCTTTATAAATACAGGAGAATTAACATAATTTAACATTTTATTTTAAGTAAAGTTGTCCATGGTGGATGTGATTCAGTACCTGAAAGGCCAGCTAAATTGTCAGTACAGAAGGGTGCTAAGGTCGTTAAATGAAATACAGAGAAATGGAGAAAATTATACCTAAAAGAACCTGTCTCAGAGTAAGTGCCATTTGTGTTTGGGAGGAATAATTTGGCAAGTACTTAGTGTTTAAAGGAGGAGTGGGAATTGGAAGAGCACACTAGAGGCATGCCTTAATAACAACCAACAGCCTTAACAGGTTTTGAAGGGGTGTCCTCAGGGATGGTACTCCAAATATTTAAGGACATATGTGGCATAGGCACACACCAACCAGAAGGTGCCTTTGAATAAATGGACCAGAAGCAATTAGTATGAATACAGCTTAGGATTTATAATTGATCTATGTATATATTTAGATATGACTGTTCCAGGGCTCAGACATTTAATTCATTCTCCTGGGATCTTGTTCAGTCTCTTGGCTTTAAATAGCATTGATATGTGGTAACACTCAAATTTAAGTTTCTAGAATAGACATCTCTCCTGACCTTCAGACTTAAATATTCAAGTGCTTTCCCCATCATATGCATTTGGATATCTAGTGACATCTCAACATTGACATGTTTAAAATGTAATTTCTTTCTTTCCGACAAAAACTGCTCCACTGAAGGCTTTCGTATCTCAGGTCTGTGTATCAGTTTATCCCTCTAGTTGTTCAAGCCAAAACCTTCTTAAAAATTATCATCTTATTGTTTATACTTTACATACAATAAAATGCACCCATTTTAAGTGCACAGTTTGACGAATTTTAAAAATCACGGCAGTCAAGTTACAGATTTCCATTACTTCAAAAAGCTTTCTTTTGCTATTTCATCTCTGCCCTAGGCAACTGCTGATTTTTTTTAAAAAGTAGTATGTGAATGGAATCATATTGTGTATACTATTTTGTGTCTGACTTTGGACATTTTTTGTACAGCACAATATTGCTGAAGCATCCAAAACTTCAATTGATACTGGTGAATTGAATCTTGTTGAAAACATCTGTAGTTTTTTGATTTCTTTTGTTTCATTTTGTTGCTAAATAGTAGTCCATCGTATGGATGTACCAAAATTTGTTTATCCATTCACCTGTTGATAGATATTTGAATTGTCTTCAGTTTTAGGACCATTATAAATAAAGCTGTTGGTAGCATGCAGGTAAGAAATGTTTGTGAAGACATAAATGTTTATTTCTTTTCATTACTTTCTCAGGGGTAAAATTTCTGGGTCATATGGAAAGTGTGTAACTTCATATGAAACTGCTGAACTGTATTTAAAAGTGGTCGTACATTTTTTATTTCTGCCAGTAATGTATGTAGAGTTCTAGTTAGTCTATATTCTCACCAGCACGTAGTATCGTCAGCTTCTTAATTTTAGCAACTGGATGATGGTGGTATCTCACGGCTTCAGTTCTCATTTCTCCGACGAATGATGACATTGCACAACTTTTCTTGGGCTTATTAGCCATTTATATGTCTTCTTCTGTTAGCTATATGTTCAAATCTTATGTGTATTTTTAAAAATTGGATTATCCTCTTACTGATTTGTTAAAATTGTTTAGGTATTCTGAATACAAGACCTTTGTCAGTCGTATTTATTGCAAAGATTTTCTCCCAATCTGTGACTTTCCTTTTCATTTACTTAAGAATATTTTTTGAAAAACGAATTTTAAAATTTTCAAGGTTCGTTTTCTTATCGTTTTTCTTTTATGATCCATGCTTTCTGTGTTCTGGCTAAGGAATATTAATCTGCACCAAAGTAGAAGAAATTTTCTCAGATTTTCTTTAGCTTTATAGTTTTAAATTTTACTGTTGGTCTACGATTCATTTTGAGTTAACTTTTGTAGATGATTTGTAATAAGGATCAAAGTTTATTTACTTTTTGTTGATACACATATTTAGTACCACCTGTTGAAATAACTATCCTTTCCTCATAAATTACCTTAGGACCTTTGTGGAAATTGACCATGTATGTGTGAGTTTACTTCTAAACTCTCTATTCTGCCCCATCATGTGTCTTTTCTTATGCCAATATTACACTGTCTTGATTACTTTCACTTTATAGTAAGTATTAAAATCAGGTAGAGTAAGTATTTCTAATTTGTTCTTCTTTATCAATATTGTTTGGTTACCCTGGATCCTTTACATTTCCATCTCCATTTTAGAATCAGCTTGCCAGTTTCTTTAAAAAAATCTTATTGGTATTTTGATTGGTATTGCATAGAATTATAGATCAATTTGAGGAGAATTTACATTGTAACAATATTAATCTTTCAATATGTGAACATAAAATATATCTCTATTTTGATATTTTTAGTCTATCTCAGCAATATTTTCATTTTTCACATACAAGTCTTGCACATGTATGTTAAATCTGTCCATAAATATTTCAATGATACTTTCATAACTGTTTTTTCAAATTCCAATTGGACATTGCCATATATATATAACTTTATATAGATATAATTATTATCTTGGGTTTAAAAGATATATAGACTTAAAACAGATGGCAGAATAATTCAAAATGTAGGACTTAAAGTGTTCAAATTATATATAATGAGAGAAAGTTGCTGTTGACAACTTCTTTGTAGCACCAGTAATACAGGTTTTCAACTCTGTTCCTAGAGAAGGGACTGTAAAGTGTCTTATTACAAACAAATCACGTTAAATTTAATGAATTGAAAATATATAGACAAATTATGTTTATGGCAAGTTTATAGTATATGAAAATTTATTATAATAGTATAGTAATATTGTGAAAAAGGTAAGAAAATGTGTATATTAAATATAATCATTTACTGTATTAAAAAATTCATTGCTTAGACAAACCAGAAATAAATACACCAAAGAGTTACTGATGTAAAAAGGAAATAGGAATGATTTTAAAAATACCTTTTAATTAGTTTTAGTGTTATCCATTTTTGATAAAAAGTGAACTTACTTACTGCATGATAGAAATATAGTTATTAATTCTAAAATGTTAGTCTATAGAATGTTAATTTTATCTTTTTGTAATCAAGTCCTTTAGTGATTTTCATTTGATATATTTAAAATTACATTTAAAAATATTAACTATTGAGTCAGTACTTTTTCAGGACCAACTGCTGATATTGAACCCATTGCTTTTTGAATCATGAGGATGTCATATATTGGAAAAGCTGCATAGTAACTTGACGTTAGGTGTATTTATCACAGAAGGCTTTTTACCACTAGTCTAGGGAACTTTTTATACCCTGCACTGCCATCACTCTTAAAGTGGTGGTACTCAGTTAACCTGTGACCTCAGAGCCAACTCATCCTTTAGGTGTGGTAGGCACAGTGCTTGCCCATGTTACATTTTGGAACCTGTGGAAATGTTTTAATTTCTTTTAAAATAAAAATAATAAACAAAAAAGCAAATATAGTAGCATATGTTAATTTGTTTATTTATCTTCAATTAAGTTTTTTTTTAATAGAGGAAGGGGCCCACGAAAGTCATATAACGTCCTGTAGTGTATAACTCTTTCATTTCCCTTAACAATTCTGTCATGACCTCAGGTAAAACATTTGAGAAAAATAGTAACTTGTGAATCTCATGAAGGATCCTAAGAAAATCCAAGTGCTGAGGTGGAATATTTCAGCACAACAGAAGAAGATAGTTTAAAATGTTCGTTATTCAGTGACCAACATCCATCTTGTATCCGTTGCTGTAAATAACGGCAGTTCTAACTCATCTGTACATGTTAGGGCTCATCAGTTTACAGGGCGGGTGTTTTCACTGCTTAGTCACCAATTGCTTAAGTCTCTTGAGCCTATTCCAGGAAAGCAACAATTTAAGCCAAATTCTGCATGATGAGAACTGAAACTCTATTGATAATTTTGTTAGATTCTTTATTATTTCATTATACTATAAAATACACACAATACTTGCCTTTTTGTATCATAGGTTGTTTTTCTTTCAAATATTATCCCAGATGTTTTTAGTTAATTGCTTTGGTATTTTAAAAATAATGGTCATGGTCACAAGATGGAAGACAACTCAGCATTTAAATTATCAAATGACCTTGTCTTTTCTTTTTTTTTTAGTATTTTGATAATGAAATACTTTAATGGTAATAAAAGATTGTTTATCTTTTTTGGATCTGATTAAAGCTTTGGAAACTCCTCCTAAAAATGTAATTACACACACACACACACATACACACACATACATGGTGATGGTAATTTCAGTTTTTTTTCAGTAATGAAATATTTTACACTATTGGATGAACTTTCCGTACTATACATAGTCCCAGTATACCTGTGGTGATTTTCCTTTTTTCGACTGATGTACACAGACATACTTAACAGAATACCTATCATACATATTTTACTTTACATTTCCATTATTCTCATGTTTCCTTCATTTTTTTTTTCTCTCTGCTTGCTTCCTTAATCCAGTCACAAATGTGTATTATTCAAAGTTACTGTAGAAGGATTTAGGGAAATTTACTTTGAAGTCTCCTTTTTTTTTCTTTCATTTATTCTTTATTGTTTTCTTCCAACGTTAAGTATCACACACATACATACTTTCACATGAGTGATCACACTGAGAGTTTGTTTGTATGCACGTCAGTTTTTTGGAAATCATTTCTTTATTCCTGGGCAGGATTTGCTAACTCTCTCTTGATTGCTTCACAGTCTTTAAAGAGATACAATTTGTTCCTGAAGCGACGTATTTTGGTAACCAGTGCTGGATGCTGCTGCTTACGCTTTGGATGGCTGCCTGCTAGCCCTGAGTCGTTTGTCTTGCAGTTAATACTGTTGATTTTGGGGACTTTGTCACTGCTTCCTATTCCCTAGGCAACTGAGATTCTAGAATGGTGATTTTTTGGATCTAATTAAAGCTTTAGAACCTCTACCTAAAAAATATAATTACAAACACACACACGCTCACACACACACGTGCAATTTACAATTTACATTCAGTTTCAGAGGTTCATGAACCTCAGAATAACTGCCTCATTCAAAGCCACCCAGATGTTTACCTCATTATAAGTAGGCATTTCCAAGAATAAATCAAACATAAATACAAACACATACTGCAAAAATGATCTTAATGTCATGTCTTGAGCAAAATAAAAGAATGATGTATTTTAATAGTATTCAGTTATGTGTATCAAATTATCAGGTTTTTCTGCCCCAGTTAGCTTCCACTAGTTTTTGTTAACAGTCCTAAGACATGTACCTCATGATGATTTATAAGGCTACTAGTGATTTCTCCAAATTTTAAAAAATTTACAGATTATAGTTAGGATACAACATAATGGTAGAAGTTCGGGTTTTCTTGGGCAGCCTTTTGCTTTCAGGAGAAGGGAGTTATATACAACCATTTAGATTGAACACCTAGGAAATAACTGGATTCACTATTTTAGTTACTTTTTAAATTCCCTAATAGTCAAATACTGTGATTTTGTTGATTTCTATGTGCAAGTTTCTGTCACCAGAACTTCTCTTTGTGGACCTAGATTTAGCTCTTTCAAGCGATAACACTTATAAATATATGTTGTTAAAAAAACTGTACTATGCAAAATAAGACTGTCAGAGATTTAGAGCAAAAGGATTATTAGAGTTTTTTTCCCTCTAATTCTTTGTTTTTATAATATTTAGTCTAATTAATATTTTTTTTCCTCACCTGGTTGGCTCCACAAATTTTGGTGAATTTCATAAGATACGCTAATATTATGATGATTTACAAGAACCCAAATAATTTTTTTGTTTTGTTTACTTTTTTGGTGATTTATAATCAAGGTACAACATGATAACAGTTTGAATTTTCTCAGGTTTTCTTTTACTTTCTTTTAGGAAAAGAAAGATGATTATGTTTACTTTGACTGGAGTGCAGAGAACTCAGACATAATGCTTGAATTACTCTATTTAGATATTTAATTTCTGTATGTTTTCTTGTTTCATTGTTCATTTTTCCACTCATTTGCTCCTGTGTATTGGGAGCTAGTTTTTTTTTTTTTGAGACCCATTGGGTATACGCTCATATAGATAAAATACAGTTATTCTGTTCATAGACCACAGGTCAAACATGAAATTTTTTTCCTATTCTTACTTGAGTGATCCACATTCAATTCTTTTTGTGGGAGGTCTGCCTGGCCTGACTTGGGTGAAAAACAAAAGACAGTACTATAAAAGAAAGTCATAAACTAATACAAATTCCAGTTATGAAAATGAAAAACATCCAGTTCCCCATTCACATGTTAGCTAAAGCAGTTGGAAAGTTGTCTACATTATAACTTTGCATCACAGAATTAGAGAGGTCACTGACATCCACTGCATCATCTATGTGCATCATTCTTGGTGTTATATGTGGGCTATTCCAAATATTAACTGTTATATATTACATATAAACTATGTAAAATCAAGTCAGACAAACATGAAATTTCTTCTTTCTGAAACTCTAGTGTTTTTGCAGTTTTGAAAGGGAGAGATTTGGCTCCCTTAGGAAATTGATGTTGAAAGGAGATTTACTTGTAGTGAAGCCAGTTGGCAAGCTGACCTGCTTTCTAATTTTTAACTGCACCTTGATTTTTATTTTAACCTTTCAAAAGTTGAATTCGGAAGTAATTTACAACATAGTATAGGCATTAATATATGTCTGTGTTCTTACAGTAGGACTCATTGATTGGTCTGTAAAAATTTATGCCCAAAGTATTGTGTGACCGTGAATTATTTGTTGGACTAATTGGTATGTTGTTTAATGAAAATAACAAGTCTGCCTCTGAATATGCATTTTGGGATCAAGGAGTATATGTGTATATATGTGTGTGTGTGTTTGTGTGTATATATATATATATATATATGTATATATATATTCATTTTGTATTTTGGTATAATTGCAGTATTTTTGTTGTGTGTGCATGTAGTCAATATACTTAGCTTCATCTTCAGTCATTATTGTTGAAATTAATTCCTTTATGGAATTTCACTTTCTAAAATAAGTATAATCTTCTTAAAATATAACTCCTTTATGGAATTTTCCTTTCTAAAATAAGCATAATCTTCTGTTGATGAAAATTGGTTGTCTTCATTTGTCATTTTAAGAAAGAAAAAAATTAAATGGTGACCAAATTTTAGCTAACCCATTTCATGTTTTTGCCATTTGAAAACAAAACTGTAATTTAAAATTGTGTCATTCATGTCTCCTGCAGTTTAAAAAAGATGAGCAAAGCAAAGATTCTATCTTCTTCCGAGATGGGATTAGGAAGATTGATTTTGTGCTTTCCTATGTTGACGACATGAAGAAAGAAGCAGAACTGAAGGCGGTAAGTACTTACGGGACAGAAATGAGAACAGTGAAAAGAGACACATTCTGTACCTTGACAGGGATATTTCCACTAAATTGTTTTGTAAAAGTTAGAAGCCCCAGAGTGTTACTGAGAGCTGAAACTGTGTGAGACAACTACAAAATATGCAGCCCAAGAATGAATGTGTAACGTCAGTTTTACTTTTTAGACATTTTGTACAGACTTCTTTTTCTTTTCCCAAGTGACTGGTATATTTTTTAATATAGCTCTCCTTAGATATTAAATGTGACCTCCACAATTTGAGGTCTGTGTCTGAATATAATATTTAAGAGTTCTGCTTCTTAAACCCACTCCTATCAGGCCATGACCTCAGCCACTCTTTTCATCTTCATATAAATAAATCCAGTGATCAAGCCGCAGCCCTCTTCTTGCTTGACCTGTTAGCAGCACTTGCCGCCATTTAATCATTCCCTTCTCTGTGGTGTGTGCTCTTCACTGGGCTTCCAGGTCTCACATTCTCTTAGTTGTCCTCTTATTTCACAAGCTTTTCCTGCTCAATCTTTTCTTTTCCCTGACCCCTTGTTATTATAGTGCCTCAGGTCCATTTTTTCACGCTTAAATCATAGTTAAAGCCCAAAGATTTTTTCAACCAATAATCATTGTTTTAAAGGATGTAAATAATGATTTTGCATTTATTTGAATTAAGTTTAATGAAGTGAAGCTGTTCTTCACTATTAAAAAGTCATGATGATGTTTTGGCTTAAAATGAATTAAACATATCATTTATTTAAAAGGTACTGAATCTTTGTAATACTAAGTCTTCTCAGCTAGGAGTATGATATGTCTCTCTGTTTATCGAAGTATTTTTTAATGTTATTTAGTAGAGTGTTCTGTGTTTTTTCCACGTAGAGGTCCTGCACATGCCCTGGAGACCATTCCTAGTAGAGGTGAAAAGCTGTCCGTGGCGCTCAGATGGGGTTAATACTTAGAGTGCTTTTGTGTACAACCAAGGGACCATCTGGAGGCACAGTCATTGTGTAACAAGGCTGTTTACCTGGGCAAATACAAGTGTTGTGCATAATTCTACTCATCTGTTTTTCCATAGGAAAGAAGAAAAGAATTTGAACAAAATCTCAGAAAAACAGGTCTTGAGTTGGAAACTGAAGATAAAAGGGTAAACGTAGTTGTTCATCTATACCAGAGCCTTGGTGTTTTAAATGTTGTTTCCTCCTGCTCTGGCCTTTGACTGGGTAGACTTTGTGTTTGGGAGCAAAACAATAGCTTTTCTGGCTACAGACACGTGCACTGGGGATGGGAGGGCCTGTGATCTTCCAGGTGAGTAAGCAGGTCAGCACTCTGAATTTGAGATGATGAGTGGAAGGCTTTAAAAATGAGCATACATAATTCTGTTCAGGATCCAGAGAAAGTAAAGACATGGTTTTTGTTTCATATATGTCTCATTTTGAAGGCTGCCTGTAATCTGGCACCCTAACTGGTTAACGTGGCTATCTTGCAACATAACCTTCTGTTTAAGCCCAGACACTTTTTCTACTCATGAATATGCCAAGTTCTTTTTTTTTCCCCCAAGCCTCCTACCATCTACTGGTTTTCTAGAATTTCCTTCAAAATTGCTTTTAAAGACCTATATCAGATCCTACCCTGTCCATGAATTTCTAATACTCTCTAGTTCTAAATTAATACTCTCTACTTCTTATTTTTCCTTGTTTTTTTTGTTACTGAACTAATAAACTTGTATTATACCATATATTCTATCTGTAAATTATTGTTCTGTGTAATGAACACTTACTGCCTAAAGTTTCTCCTCTAAATGTAAGCTATACAAGCAGCTGGGTTAGAGGAAAGAGTACATCTTATACTTTGTGTCTATTTCTCATATACCCTAGGCACAGTTCTGAGCTTAGAGCTAGCAAGTAAAAACTTAAGACATTGTCCAGAACCACATATGTTTCCATAGGTTTCAGACTAGTGTACGTTGACCCTAAAATATATTTTAAAAAATATTTTCTCTGTCTCTGTCTCTCTCACACATGAATATACACACACATAACATATACATACACGTGTATGTAAGTATAGTATGTATAGCTATTTTGAGCATTTAACGCTTCTAAAAATTTTGCTGAAATTTTTCAATAAATTGAAAATGCTGTGACAGTCTTAAGTTTGAGATTTTATAAAATTTCCTTTCCTTAATAAACTCAGTAAGCTTTGTTATTTTGCCTCCTTTTCATACAGAACTCTGAAGATGGAAAAACTTATTTTGTCAAGATCCATGCCCCTTGGGAGGTATTAACTACTTATGCTGAAGTGCTGGGAATCAAAATGCCTATAAAGGAGAGTGACATTCCTCGATCTGACAAGATCCCTTTTAGCTATATGCTTGGGCCTCTGAAGCTCCCCAGGAATGTGAAGCATCCTCATCCTGAATATTTCACTGCACAATTCACCAGACATCGGCAGGAGCTCTTCCTCATTGAAGACGAGTCAAGCTTCTTTCCATCCTCAGCAAGAAACAGAATTGTAGGTAGAGAAGACCTTTGGGCGCATCCCTTCAAGTAGGGGATGTGTGCCTGTGTGTGCTTTTGTGCAGGTGCATGTGTGATACTCTGCAAGGTGTCTGTGTAAATTTTGATGTGTTTGGTGGTATTGGGCAGGTTTTAAAGTCTACTTGGACAACTTAAACCTGTTAGCCTCCCTGCTTCTCAAACTGTTGTTTAAAAATGAATGGTTGAGATGTCGCTTCAGGAGCACATATACTAAAATTGAAATGATCCAGAGAAGACTAGTATGGCCCCTGTACGAGGATGACATGCAAGTGTATGAAGCGTGCCATATTTTGTTTAAATGAATGGTTAACAGCGTGGACACAGCAAAGAAAAGAGGCCACATGCAATATTGGAGAAAGCACTTAACTGAGAGTCAGGGGACTTCAATTTTATAAGGTCTTTGTAAAATGGTTTTATAATCTTAGAGTTTGGTTTTATAAATTCAGTGCATAGAAGGAGGAATACTGATCATTCCAAATGGAAATGGAATATTTTTATTGCCTTATATATGGTGTCGACTGAAAACCTAAAACTTGAGAATTATGTTTCATTCAAGGAAATTACTGAGGGCTGTAGCCCAGAAACAGCCTCTCAGAAAGCTCTGAGGAACTGTTCTTATGAGGAAAGGGAGGAGCCAGGATATATGGGAGTTTTTACTGGGAAAAACACATGTAGTGGAACACCAAAATATTACTGCTAATCACAAAAACCAGATATCCCAAGATAATGATTTTAGTGCTTGTCTGTGTACGGGAAGATGCAAGAGTCTGGGCTCATTGAAATAATTCCGTTGCTGTGCATCTTAACTGTCTAGGGCCTGTTTTTATCCTGTCCTGTTTTTGTCCATCCTGGATTCCCCATCAGAGGGTGGCTGCAGTGGCTGATGGCTTGGTGGCAGGGAACATTCCTTGTTTATTGAGATGGCAGTAAACTAGGATAGATGGCATTTGAGAAACAGCAGAACTTTTTCCTTTCACTTAAAACCATTTTCAGCCTTTTTAATAATAATATTTCCTCTTCATTTGTAGTTGTATGGTCTTTAATTTTCCCATTAAAAACATCTCCCCTAATTACAGTTTCTGTGCTATGTTTCTTCCTGTTAAAATAGGAATAATATCCACCTCATAGGTTATGTTGAGAATTAAATGAGTGAAGGTGTAAATGACTGCATAGTTCCTGGAACATACTAAGTTTTCACCAAGTGTTAGATATTGTTATTATTGATTGGACTTCAGAAGAACAAGATTCGGGTTCTTTGCTGCTCTTCCCCTTCCTGCTGGTACCTGTTAGTGCAATCACCAGGTTTCTAACAATCGCAAGGCAACTTCTCCTTGAGATGACTTACTCAGTTTTCCTGAGGAATGAGAGACTTCATTCTCGTTAGGTTCAACACTCTTAAAAGTGTGCAAGAAGGATTTTGAAATAATCTTTTTCTAGTCCCTGAATCTATTTTTTAATTCACTGACAGAAATATTAAGTTAAAATGTAATGCCTAGGATTCACATATGAAAACGCAAATCCACGAACTAAAAATTTTCTCCCTTTTCCTGCCTGGTCTAAGAAGCAGCAGCAACAACAGTGTGTGCGATTTTCAGCACATATGTGAATTCTTCCGCAAAGTAGATGCCACATAGAAAATGTCTGCATCTAAGGGCGCGCATGTTTAAAATGTCACTTGTTACACTATCACACGTTACAAAAAGATGTATTAATTTAGAGTCCTGTTAAAAACAGTTGAGACTGCTGTTTTTCATACATCTTTCTCAGCACTAAAATTGCCAGTCTTTCTTTTTCTTTCTTTTTAGATTGCAGTGTAACATAAATCAAGGTAGCTCACAAGTCATAAGTGAATATAGCTCCTTGAATTCAGTCACAAAATGAACACAGCCATATGACCACCACCCAGATCAAAAGAGAGCACCTTCCTAGCCCTCCAGAAGCCCTGGTGCCTCCTCCTGATCATTACTGCTGTCTTTCTCAGTGGAGGTCAGCTCTCACTTTTAACAGCAGAGACGAATGTAGCCTGTTTTAAAACTTTGTAAAAAAGGAGTCATAAAGTGTGTATTCTTTTGAGTCTGGATTCTTTGGCTGAACATTAATTTGGTTGATTCAGTTAGCTGTGGTTGATTAATTGTATGAGATTTTGTTTATTCATTTTTATTACTTTCTATGGAAATTTATCTGTGTATGTGTTATTATGGTTTTAATTTGCATTTCTCTGGTAGAGATGAGATTGATCCCCTTGTATGTGTTTGTTGGGCATTTAGATGTGCACTTAGGTGAAGTCCCTGCTAAGGTCTCTTGCTTTTGTTTTTCAGTTAGGCCTTCCCTTGTTGATTTGTAGCAACTGTTTATATATTTTTTATTTGAGCCCTTTAGTCATTATATACTTTACTGATCTTTTCTTACTTTGTGCTTCCTTTTTGTTCCTTTTTATAGTTTTTTTTTTGATAAACAGATGCTTTTCATTTTAATGTACAGTTTCAAACCAGATTTGAAATGGGAGGGTCCACTTATAAGCAGGTTTTGTTCAATAGTAAACATTACAGTACCACATGGTCCACAGTTGGTTGGATACTTAGATGTGGAATCACAGATGTGGAGGGACTGCATATACAGAGGTTCAACTCTGAATTGTGCTTGGATTTTTGGCTGCCCAGAAGGTCGATGCCCCTACCCCTACGTCATTTGAGGGTCAACTGCAGTCTGCTTCCTTAAGCCTTTACTTTATGAATAAAGCTCTTAATCTTTAACTACTCCAAGATCATGGAGTTAATTTCCTGTATGTCTTCCAGAAGTTTTATTATTTTACTTATCACACTGAGAACTACTCTCCACTTGGAATTAATTTTTGTGCATGATGCAAGATGGAGGCCTTTCTTCCCCCAAATGTATAGTCATTTGACTTACACCAATTATTGAAAATATTCAACTTTCATATTGTTTTTACAGTTCCACCTTTGTCATAACTCAAGTATCTGGATATTTATAGATCTACTTCTGGGCTTGATTCTGCTGCTTTGATCTGTGTCTAATTTTGCACCAATACTGACACTGTTGAGCTTTGCCTGAGTTATGTAGTCCTGAGAAATGGAGGCAATTTAAAGAAATCTCCCACTCTTCTCGTTCTGTGAAACTGCTTACTTTAAAAAACCACCCTTCCCCATATAACTTAAAGAATATTCACAGATAACCCTCCTGTTCGACTTAACAACACTATTTGCCACGTAGTTTATCCTAAATTCAACTGCTAATTGAAGTGTCTATCTGTATTAATTGTCTTTATCCAAAATAGTAATAGTAAAACTTCTCATAACCCTATGCAGGTGGTTACAACTTGGAGCCAGGTGCTTGGACTGCACTCCCACAGAGATAAGGTGACAGGGATGCAATCTTTCTTGATGTTTACAATGAAAAGAGATGGTTTCTGGAAAACTAAATAACACTCTTAAGTTGTAAAACTGGCAAGAGGTCTTACTTAGCTTTGAAAAAGACTTACATACATCTCAAAGGGATAGAGGAATAATTTATAATTACAAGTTAGCTAAAAGAAATACTCTAAGATTTAATAGATTCTGATATCAGGAAAAGGCCCTGTACAAAACCTCAGAGTAATTAATTGAAAGGTATTCAAGACAGTTTGGCCAAGTATTAATTCTACTCCATATTCCCTTAACTGAACTGTTAGTTGCACAAGACTCCAACTTGAAACCCTGATTATAGCATGGATTCTGGCACAAGGGACTCCCAGAGGAGCTTGGAACAGGAAAAGCACAATAAGTTATGACCCGTTCCCCCGTCCCCAAGGAAATAAGGAATACCCAGAAGCTGAGATACCTGCCACTCCACGCGACCCCACCCTCTACTTCTTCCCCCCAAAACAAGGGGAAGGTTCCTTCTGTAATCAGAGCCTGTATCGTCACTGAGACAAAGTAGACATTGTAAAATGGTGATTGAAAAAAAATATGGATAGCATAAATTTCTGAAATGTGTGTCTCTTTATGCTTACCTTACAGGTTTATTATATTCTCTCACGGTGTCCTTTTGGCATTGAAGATGGAAAGAAAAGGTTTGGAATTGAAAGACTACTAAATTCCAATACCTATTCATCTGCCTTTCCACTCCATGATGTAAGTATATGCTTGGTTTTCAAATACTGAGCCCATTTTCCCTTTCCCATGTTCAGAGGTTGCCTTGTCAGGAGGAGGATCTTCCATTTGCTTCCTCTTTTATGACAGATTGCTTAATCTCACGCATTCTGGGAAAGTCCCCACAGACTCCTTAGGTCCCAGCTGAGAACTATGCTGACACATATAGTTAATACCTCTTCACTTTGGGGTTTAAATGGAAATTCATTTAAAAATTATTACATTTGCACATGAATTTTCTTTAGAACCCATATTGAAAATAGCAGTTATATTAAAAGAACATTTTAGACCATAATATTTGGAAATTTTACCCAAATCCGTCAGATCTTTCTTTATAAACTTCAGAAGTTCCAAAGGACTTAAATTGAATGCATTCATGTGTTCGTTCATTAAATGTATAATTGGTTTTAATTATAGGTAAAGCATTCTGTTAGGCATTATTGGAACACAGCCATGAATCCAAGCTCACAGGCTAGGAATTTCTGGGAAATAAAGCATACATACAGCTGCAGAACAAGCTTTGGACTTTGGTCCAAACAAAAGATTCAGACAGATTCTGGAGAATGTTTCTTTGGGACAAAAATACTGAGTTCAAGAAAGAAGTGGCGTTTTATATGATGCACCCATTAAACCAAACCTGCAAACTTGACATGACAAAAAGACCGCCTAGTTTCTGGAAGTTTCTGAGGGAAACTTTTCCTTTCGGACGTTCAGTGTTTAAATTTCATCTCCTGTTGTCAGTAGGTATTATTTGGCTAAATGCATATAAATTACTCTGAGATCATCTCCTGGAACTTTGGTTTCCTTTGTTCCTGTTTTACTCTTCCATACTTTTATAAAAGACTTTCTGGTGGTGCTCTCTTTTCAAGAAACACATTCCTTTGGAATATAGAAGAACCAAGTATTTCCATTTAAACAAGTGGCATCTAAATCATTGCCCATGTTACTGAAAATGATGTTGCTGTCACAGTTTCCAAAAGCCCAAAGCCAATCTCTCTGTTTTCCAGCTTCCCTCTGTCAGTATTTATTCAACAATGTGATAATTGACTCTAGGTCAGTTCATCGTTGGTTAGTTATTATCTTTCATATGTTTCCTATAAGGATACAGCAGAATTTTCCAAAATGAGTGGCAGTTTTCAATGGGAGTTCAGGTGAATTTAACTTGTGTTAGAAAAACTTCCCCCACCTCCCCCAACACAGACGCATACATTTTTCCCTGGAGCAAAAGAACTTCCAGGGAATTATAGATTCATGGCTTTTGATCACGTAGAGAGATCTATAGCAAGTTAATAAACACTTTGCAACACATTCTTTACTAATCTTTCTCCACAAAAGGGCACATTCTTTTATTTTTTTGTTGTTGAAGATTTTGAGGATTTTTGGGTTTGTCTGTTGTTGCATTGAGTCTTTTCTTACTATTACCAGGTCATGAAGGCAAACTATCCTCAGTCACCAGCAATTTTAACCCATACATCAAGCTTTTCATTGAAGTCTTTTATGCTCACAGGAAAATCAGTGTTACTTAGCTGTTGCTAGAGAGAGCTATCATTTACTGTTAATTTTACTTTTTTTTTTCTTTCTTCTCTCCTGAATGCAGATTTAGGTAGTGGGTTCTCCCTTGTGTGCTTTAAAGAATCTTTTTTTTTTTTTTAATACCCAAATAGGCTGCTTTTTCTTTCTTTCTTTCTCATTTCTTAAAATTCAGTGGGACTAATTACAGAAGACAAAAGCTGGAATCTGGATGATATAAAATCTTATACCTTATAGAGATTTTCATATGTGCTTAATTTTATTTATTTATTCATTTTTATCAAAGTATGGTCTATTTACAATGTTGTATTTATTAATTTCTGGTATACAGTATAGTGATTCATTTATACATATGTATTTTTTTCATATTCTTTTTCATTATAGATCATTACAAAGTATTGAATATAGTTCCCTGTGTTATACAGTAGGACCTTGTTGTTTATCTATTTTATATGTCATAGTATCTACAAATCCCAAACTCCTAATTTATCCCTCCCTACTCTCTTCCTCTTTGGTAACCGTAAGTGTTTTTCTGTGTCTTTGAGTCTGTCTCTGTTTTGTGTCATTTTTTTTTAGATTCCATATATAAGTGATATCATATGATACTTTTCTTTCTCTTTCTGGATTACTTCACTTATTATGCCAATTTCCAGGTCCATCCATGTTGCTGCAAATGGCATTATTTTATTATTTTTTATGGCTGAGTAGTATTCCATTTTAATTTTATTATATATATATATATATATATACACACACATATATATCTCACAACTTCTTTATCCTTCATCTGTCAACAGACATTTAGGTTGCTTCTGTGTCTAGGCTATTTTAAATAGTGCTGCTATGAACATTGGGGTGCATGTATCTTTTCAAATTAGAGTTTCCTCCAGCTATATGCCCAGGAGTGGGATTGCTGTATCATAGGGTAAGTCTATTTTCATTTTTTTAAGGAATCTCTATACTGTTTTCCATAATGGCTGTACCAAACTACATTCCTACCAACAGTATAGGAGGGTTCCCTTTTCTCCACCCCGCCTCCAGAATTTATTGTTAATCGACTTTTTAATGATGGCCATTCTGACTGGTGTGATACCTCATTGTAGTTTTGATTTGCATTTCTCTGATAATTAACAATATTGAGCATTTTTTCATGTGCTGATTGGCCATTTGTATGTCTTCATTGGAGAAATGTTTGTTTGAGTCTCCTACCATTTTTTGATTGTTTTTTTGTTTTTGAGTTATATGAGCTGTTTGTATATTCTGGAAGTTAAGCCCTTGTCAGTCACATTATTTACAAATATTTTCTCCAATTCTGTAGGTGTCTTTTCATTTTATTTATGGTTTCCTTTGCTGTGCAAAAGCTTATACATTTAATTAGGTTCCATTTGTTTAGTTTTTATTTTATTTCTATTGCCTTGGTAGACTGCCCTAGGAGTACATTGCTACAATTTATATCGGAATGTTTTGCTTATGTTCTTGGTGCTTAATTTTAAATTGGATATTTATTTATTGTTGTCTTCAGCAATTTACTTGTCTAAGCCAACAGTTAAAAAGAAAATACTGAGCAGCTATGTGTAGACAGTACTCTGCTAGGCCCCGAAGGGATATTAATAAAGCTATTCAGAACCTAACAATTAGGAAAGAACTTATGTGTGAAACAATCCTGAATCTCTAAAGTGCTAATATTATTGTATGTATTTTAAGTTCTTTGGGAAACTGGTATCAGGGAGGGCCAGTCAGGACAAGACAGGTTCCCTAGAGGAGATTCCAGTCATAGCAGTGTGACTTTGAAGATCATTTACTCAACTTTGCATGGAGTTTAGTTTTTTCCGTCTATAGAATAAAAGCGTCAGCCTATTTCCAATGTCCCAGCCAGTAATGTGGTTGTGTGAATTCCTGAGCTGTGACTTTTGAAATCTGAGTAGACATGAAAGGGGTGAAGTGAGAAAAGCCAAAGTCTCTGGCTTTAACTTGTGTTCTTAGGTAGCTGGATGTGAGGATTTAATAAATAAATCACTGTTATTTGTATTTGTTGTAGAGTGTCGTAGATAATTTACATGAATGAAATACGAAAATCCACATCAAGAAGTGAAAGACAGCCTCTACCTTATTCACTAGCCCTCTTATACAAGCAGCATTCCTTCAGTCACCTTTGTCTTTTACTTTGCCATTCAGTACTTCTTGCACTTCTTCTGCAGGGTCAATATTGGAAGCCATCAGAACCTTCTAATCCTGCAAATGAAAGGTACATACTTCACCAGAACTGGGCTCGGCTTTCCTATTTTTACAAGGAGCAACCTTTTCATTTGATTAAGTAAGTTTCTTACACAGGATCAAACCAATTAAAACTTGATTATGTGATTTTTATTCACAATGGCATCATATTCTATTCTTTTTACCGTTATTTTCACCCATGATAGTTCCCATCTTTCCAGTTTTGTATCTATGCTATCATTTAGTCATTTGTTTGTGGGCAAATTCTGTTGCTAGAATGCTCTTAACCACTGTGCAGAGATAGCTGAATGGTTTAGAGATTGGGTTCAAATCCAGGTTAGAAGCCTCTAAACATGGTCAAGTTACCTTTATGAAGCTCACCTGTAAAATGAAAATGACAGTAGTACTTTCCTTGTGGGGTTATTTGATAATTAAATGATATATGCATATTTTTATCATGGGGCTAGCACTTAGTGTTTAACACACATTAGTTATTCTATGTTTTTCTTTGAGTCCAGGAATTTAGAAGATAATAGAAAGGTCATGGATGGATGTTTGTGTGTATATGTTGATCTCAGAAAGCTGTGAAGACAATTGTTCTATGATCTCAGTTCTTTAGACAATTTCATTAGCTGTGCAAGAACATTATGGTTTCACATTCTTGCTTTGAACCATGACAATACTACAGGATGTTAGGAGATTCCTGCAATGGTTTCAATAAAGAAACAATCAGATTACAGAGCCGTAGTTGCTATGGGCAGTATTTTCACTCAGTGCTTTATGCTTTTACTACTGTGCTTGCACAGCATCACAGTATCCTTTTTGGAGACTAATTTGGCTGCATACATCCAAATCAACTGAAATGTTATCTCAATAGTTTTCTTTAAGACATCTAAGGGGAAATTTTTGAGAAAAAATAAAAAGCACTTAGCATATAAACCGGTGCTTTTTATAAATCATTATATGAACTCTTCATTGGATAGATGCTTTAATTGTCCTGAATAATGGTCATTTAATTTGTTAAGTTATAAAAGTAGCCTAAAAAAATTCTAAGCAATAAAGAGATGTGCAAAGTTTTAAGTGAAATTCCACCACTATTGAACTCCACAGAGGTAACTATTCTTGATTTGGTAATGGCCATTGAGTCATTTTTATGTGCATGCATAATAAAATACATACACAGCTTTTTTTCTGGAGCAATGGCATTTTTACTTACTTTTTTGCTGAGATTTCCCTTTTTCACTAAATAATGTATTGTTGGTACACTTCCCTGTGAGTACACACAGATCTATCTTGTGCTTTTTAATAGAACACAGAGTGCCATACTGTAAATTTTGCATAATTCACTTGTCCATTTTTCTATTGAAAAAGATTGGGCTGTTCCAAAGTTTTCATTATTGCAGTCAGTGCTGTTAAGAACATTCGCAGATATTGTGCCCTTGGAGAATATTTCACAGTATATTTTCAAAGAAGTAAAGTTGTCAGAATGAAAGTTTACATGTTTTACATTGTTCAAAATATGTTAAGAGTATTTTAACTGTCTACATGTGTTTCTGCTATAAATATTCACAAAAGATGTATATTTGTAATTCTTGATATACATCTTTGGATAGGACCTTCTTAACACTTGCTGATTTTCTTTTATAGCAAAGTGGAAGCTCAGATATTTCATCAGATAACAGTGTCTAGCTTAAATTTAGTAAGTTTTTAAAAATTTGCATCATATAATTATAGCTTTCCATTTATAGCAAATTACACTGCTCTTCCATTTCAGTAGTGAGAGTTTAAAAACTTAAATTTTAACAATTTTTAATGTAAACAATTGATAACTAGGTGTAAAGTTGGGTAACAAAAAAGGCAAATGGAAAATTCTATGTTATCACAGAGGGAGCAATTGCAGAAAACAACTATTATCCCTAAGGTTTCTTTTCAGTGATTATGTTAGGTAATATCCTTATTCTTATATACAGACATTGGAGTATTTAAGAGTAAAGGATCATGGCATACATATTCAACCAACTTCCTTGCAGATGGTTCAGAAAAAGATACCAGTGTGTCTGTGTGTATGTATACATATAAAGAGAAATACAGGTAGAGAGAGAATTGCAAATGGAACAATAATTTTACAATAAAATAAAGTGTATGTGGATATTATTTGAATTATTATTGCAACTTTACTGTATATTTGAAATTACTTTCAAAGAAAAAGATTTAATAAAAGGAGAGTCCAGAAATAGATCCACACATACATGGTCAATTGATTTTCAACAGATGTACCTGGTCATTAATTGGGAAAAGGATGGTCCTTTCAACAAATGGTGCTAGAACAAATGGATATCCACATGAAAAACATGAATCTTGATCCTTTTCTGTTCTAAAATTTAAATTAACTTGAAATGGATGAGAGAACTAATTATAAGGGCTACAGGTACAAAACTTCTAGCAGAGTGTTAGCAGGAGAAAAATGCATGTGATCTGGAATTAGGCATGGACTTTTCAGATGAGATGCAAAAAGCACAATTTAAAAAATGTATAAATTTGACTTCATCAAAATTAAAAATGTATACTTTTTCAAAAGGCACTGTTACAAAAAATAAAAAACAGGTTGGAGAAACTACTTGCAACACACGTATCAGTGAAGGACTCTTACCTAGAAAACTTAAAGAACTCTTACAACTCAATAACAAGACAAAATTAAAAATGGACGTAAGAATATAAAGGATGGGTGGCCAATACTTAATCAAAGATGCCCAACATTTTTATTCCATAGGGTAATAAAAATTAAAAGTTCATTGAAATACCACTACACACCCACTAGAATAGCTACAGTCTAAATAACTGGCAACAATAGATGCTGTCAGGGATGTGGAGCAACTTGAAATCTCAAACATTGCTGGTGGGAATGCAAAATGGTATAGCAACTTTACGAAAAACAGTTTTGACAGTTTCTTATAAAGGTAAATATGCACTTTCTATATGACCCAGCAATTCCACTTCTAAGCCTTTACTTAGGAAAAATGAAGCTTCTGTCCACTGAAATGCCATTATTTGAATGTTCATAGCAGCTTAACTCGTAATAAAAAGCTGGGAACAATTAAATGTCTATCAACTAGTGAGTGACTTAAACAAATTATTATGCATTCATACAATGGATTTTTTCCTATAAATAAATTACTAATGCATACAACATCAAGGGATGAATCTTAAAAGCATTATGCTAAAGAGAAGAGGCAGGCCACGAAAAGCTATATACTCTTATGTTTCCATTTATAAAACATTATTTTGGAAAAAGCAAAACTTATAAGGACCAAAATCAAAGTAGTGGTTGCCAGATCTGGATGTTGAGGAAGGGGTTAATAACAGAG